ATTAATCATAATCTGTCAAACACCAATGTCCGGTTGTGAGGAACATATTTGCATATTACACCACATTTTTAGCTCTCTATAGCATGAGAATTTAATCTTTTACTGCCAACTAATTACTGCCACCACGCATTGGCGTATCCACTAAAATATAGAGCTACCTATAGCGTGAGAATTTGATCTAATGCTTTAAATCTAACTGTATGCCTCGTTCTCAAAATATCTACTTGACTGCGTATCCGCGTATCCACTACAATAGAGAGCTATATTTAACACTATGACAATTTAATTTATCAATGCTAAGTCACTATATGCCTCGTAGCTACATTTAACATCTATTTATTATTAATCTATTGAGAATAAATGTAGATGTATTAATACATTGTATCCATGATGTTTCAAAGGCATAGCTTAAAAAGTGGATGGGTATTCTGCAATGCCAATCGCTCCTGTCGGATGTTATCATCACACAAGGTATGAAGCCACAATGTGTCCTGCTCAGATTTTGACATCTCAACCAAGCAATACTGATTTTGAAATTACCAATTGCGAGCGACGAGTATCCGCTGAATATTTTGGTCAATGATGCATCCGACTATCAATGAGGAGTCCGACTGTCTACGGAAAAAAAATTTGCGCCGTCGGCCAGCATTGTTTATTATATAACAGTAGCAATTTGCATATTTTCGTTTGGGGGGTGGGGTGGATAAATATCTGGGGGGGGGGGGGGGGGGGGTGGCTGGGGCCTGGTGGCAACGCATGGAAAGGCCAAGGAAAAAGTTTAACAAAATTAGTTTTCTAGGCTTGCATGGCAAGACCATAATATTGCAATTTTACAAATTTAGTAGTAAGAATAATCAAATATGAAACTATCAAATCAAAATATATATAATTTGCGGGGGTGCAAAAACTATTGGGGGCGGTGCCAAATGCCTCTGGGGGAATGTAAGTAATTTCTGCGGGGTGCGCACTCCCCCAGAAAATCCGTGCCTGTCAAAGCCGGAAATAAAATCTAATTACATAATGCAATTTTTAACCATTTGTATTATTCAAATATATAGGAATTCATTGTGACATGCAAATTCAATACCAGTTTTTGCAGGCCCTAAAATTTGTGTTATCCCTATATCCAGACGCATACTGGAAATCACAAGCTAAGTCTCCCGAGTGATACCGAAAAAATTCTGGTCAGAATACAAAAATAGTTTATTAATCAAATGTGGGATACTATATTTTCTGGGTGGAATACCAGATTTTAAGTTACTGGTATCCTGTTGGAAAATACTGGTATCCTGCTGGAAAATTCAAATTTGAAGCCCTGATTTTTGTGTTTTGCTTTGCTACAGTGGTAGTTGTTGCTTCTATGTTGTATTATGATTAGAAAATCATTTGTTAAAATTGGACATCAGGCTGCCAGCTGTGTTTTGCATGCATATTCAAAGAGACTGACATACAGTACTGTAAGGGTACTGCATAATATTCAGCCAGTAAAACACCAATTTATCCAGATTTATCGCACTTCTCATGTTCCGTAATCTGATGCAACAACATACTTCATGCTTTTTGAACACATTCTATACTATTTACATTGAAGTCTAATAAGAAATCTATATTTACATTGCTCATTACCTGTTTTACCAGTAATATATATGTTGTTGTCACAAACATTCCTGCCATCATACTTTTCCTATTTCTTGTTTATTTAATAATAATAAAAATGTGTGGATAAAGCAGAAAAATATAATCACATTTTATGATAAAAAGTAGGAAAAAAAGGATGGCATCTCTATTCCTTACAATTTGTACAATTAGGTTTCATAATTCAGTAATGCTTCCAGTGTTTCCATCTTAGTTAATATTTAAGTAGAATAGTTTCCAACAGAACTGTGAGTTTGAAAAGTTTCAACCACATTTTCAAGTTTTTCCATTACCATGAATGCACATGCTATATATCAATAGTCAAACCATATACAAGATAGCTAGAGCAAATACCGAACATAAAGTACAGTTAATTATTTGAACCAAGGGCAAATTTTCATTTTTTTAAAAGGAGGGTGGAAAAATTTGAAGAGGCACCACTGAGCGAGCTTCAGCAGGGGTTACGTGTTGGGTTAAAGAGTTTCACACAAAATAGGAGGGGTGAAGAAAAATTTTGGTAGGGTTGAACACTTAATAAGAGGGGTTAAAGAGATTCTGGGGGGTTAACCCCTTTCCCAGTAAATCTGCCCATGGAAAAGATTTTGTGATTCTGTACTTTATGCCCTCTGATAACAATATGTAAGGTAGAGCACAAAGCAAATTCAACAATAAGTAGTCAATCACTGTATATTTATAAGAAAAAACATACTTATTTTTTCTTTCTCTTCTGCACTGGCTCATCACTCACAGCAAACCACTTTTTCTTTTCATATCTGCCACCAACATCTCCTCGTACAACTGGAGCAATGTCACGCTGCGCTGCAATGGTGAGATCATTGTAGCCAAATTCATAGGCACTAGGATTATCTGCTTGTCGTCCTTAGGAACGCTGGTGTCCAAAGTAATCCTCCAGTACATCCTGCATAAACCTTTCACTCAGGACATACT